TTCATTTTTCACTGGAAGGCCTCTGTTGTTGTCATTGTTTGTACTGTTTTGAATAAAGGAGTGCATGTTGGAGGATTTATTGTTTTGTTTTGGTTTTCTACCGGTGGTATAGAATTGGGTTTTTCGAGAATTGTGGAATTTCGCTGGCGTCGGTATCGACTACAACAGAAAGTCGATACCAACACAGAACAACAGCAGCTCATATGTACAATATTATCAGCGGCTGTGCTCCTCAATACTTCTCAGATAACAACGGTCCATACTCGTACAGCCGCACTATAACACCAGGGCCAGTGGGCCTCCAGTGAATAACAATCTCCTTTTCTTACACAGGTACCATGTTGTGGAACTACGGAAGCCCGTTCCCGCCAATGTGACGGGGAAAAAAAGATTCTGTAAGTCATTATAATGAGAAACCTTCTCAAAATAATGACTTAGTATCTAAAATAATGAGAAACTTTCTCGAAATGGGCGTCCTTGTGGAACAGCCCTCTGTTACACATCAAGTCTTAGAGCGACTTATAGAAGTCAGGTGAGGACTTTTTTTGTGACTGATCAATTAAATTTGCAGCATTGTTATTTTAGCTGTTCTTGTTTTTTGATGAAAGTATTTTAGATTTTGTGGAAATGTGCTTTTGTCTTCTAACAGCTTTTGGGGGCCATGTTGGAAATAAAGTGTTTTCACTGTAACATCTCATCCTTTGGACACATGTTTCCTGTGTGTGATGATCTATAAATAAAATCAATGAACTTCGTACAGTAGTTGTATCAGAGCTAATGTAACAATAGAAACAGTAGTTGTGTAGCAGGTAACAGCGGCAGCAGCCAGGTGCTCACACTGCAGACGTTTCTGGCTTTTGACAACTGCCAATAAAGTTTCATCTGAAATGTTTCCCGACTTTTTTCTCTGCCTGTTTTTTCATTTCCCTTTGTAATGGTCGACTGATACGTACGGAAGCTCATTTCTGCCAATGTGACGGGGAGAAAAAAAAGATTCTGTTAAGTCTTTAAAATGAGAAACTTTGACTTTGTATGTCAAACTATGACTTTGTGATACTATAAGTTTCTCCTTTGAACGACTTACAGAATCCTTTTTTCCCGTCACGTTGCTGATGTTTAGAGAGCAGAGCTGCCGATGGCTGATATATAACGCCGATGTCAGGACAATATGTTTACAGCAAGATGAATGAGAGTTACAGTCGTTCCACAGCCGCCGCGCTGACGAGGCCGTCTGAGGGAATGTTTCCATTAATCGCAAAAAATTCAACCAACTTCAAATCACAGCGGCTTTTACACAAATTTGACCGATCGTTTGTTTCCTGCACAAAACCGTCGAGCCATACGTCACCGAACTCACTTCCTTGTCTCTAGTTTGGAATACGCAGACATGTTGAACGCGACTGTGTCACATTTACCCTCCAAACTGTGATTTTACTCTCACTGGAGCACACTGCCTGCTAGTTTTTAAAATAATTCGACCCCAAAAAGAGCCTGTGAGGGACTGATTATGGACCATAAACACAGAGGGGAACCAGACTTCACTTCATGGATCGCATTTTATGGTCTCACCTCACCTGAAGCATTTTAAAATTCAAATTAATTTCACTTTTCTGGGCCTCAACAAAGTCTCATGAGAGGGGATAAGACTTGGTTGAACTGCTCCCAACCTGTAGACTCCCTGATGGTGACTCACAGCACACAGTGGCCTCATTCTGAGGGGTCAGAGGGGCCGAGAGCCGCTGCTTCAGCCCGCTGGAGGAACACCTTCCTTTCCTGGTTGCCAGTGTTTTTATGAATGAAGGACAACATGGGAACATGGGAAATAAAGAGAAACCTCCTCTGTCCCCGCCGTCCATCACCTCCTCTCTCCGACCTCAACCCACCTCTCCCTGAGGAGGAAGAGGAAGGAGGATGAGGAGGGCCCCTGCACCCCCTCATCACAACACATCAGCACCGATCCATGTGATCAATGCTCAAAGCTCAGCGGCGGCGCGCAGCCGGTCGGATCTCAATGATGGAGGGAAAGGGGGGGTGGGGGGTATCATTGAGGGGTACAGGGGTATGTGGGGGGGGGGGGTACTCACTCGTCTGGGCGCGTGTCCTCGCTCATTTTTTTCCGTTTCACCTCCGGTAACAATAAGCTCCCGCCGCGGCTGCACAGTGCGGTGTCTTCATGGTTCCTCGCCCGTCAGCGGCAGAAGCGGCAGGAGCGGCAGGAGCGGCAGGATCCGGTTCTCTCCCGCTCTGAGTTCGGTTCGTGAATCCCGACGATGTATTCTCGGATCTCCTCCTCCAACACCTCCTCCTCCTCCTCTTCTTCTCCTCCTTTTACTCCTCAGTTAATGGAGCGCATCAGAAGAGGCGCATCCGATCTCCTCCACCTCCTCCTCCTCCTCCTCCTACGCCTTTTCTTCCTCTTCTTCGTCTTCCTCCTCCTCCTCCTCCTCCTCCGCCTCCGCCGCCTCCTCCTCTACCTCCTCCCCCGCCGGCCCGGGCTGGAATGCGGTGACCGAAAATGGTGCGCTGGTATCGGTGAGGATGGCCCCGGACGAGCCCCATCTCCTCCTTACTCCATGTTGGATTCAGTGCGCGCAGACAGAGCGGAGCGGACTGAGGAAGAGGAGGAAGAGGAGGAGGAGGAGGGGGTCGGCTGACGTCAGACCCGAAGGACTGCAGTGTCACGTGCTATTACCATATCATAATATTAGTGATATTAAGAATAATAATGTTATTTGTCAGTGATGATATTGCACTATTATAACACACTAGTATTATTAAAGTATTATTTTATACTATTATAATAGTAAGGATTATTATTAAGTATAATGCACATTAGTGGTTAGAGTGTCAGGAATGAAGCATTAATATGAAGTGAAGCAGTAAAGGAATAAAAGAGGTGACATTAATTGTGGCAGTGGCAACTAATAATAATAATAATAATCATAATAATAATAATAATAATAATAATAATCATAATAATAATAATCATAATAATAATAATAATAATAATAATAATCATAATAATAATACTCATAATAATAATAATCATAATAATCATAATAATCATAATCATAATAATAATCATAATACTCATAATAATAATAATAATAATAATAATCATAATAATCATAATAATCATAATAATCTCAGCCTATAGTAGTGAAAGTAGTCGATATAGTGGCACTAATAGGACTTAGTAGTGGCACTATTACCCCACCATACTACTACTGCACCTGAGTACCCTGAGGACCATTTTATTGTACTTTCTACTTCCGGAGTGATACTCTAGATTACAGTTAACAGTTCAACATCAATCCCATAATCCAATAATAAAGTTTAACACTGTGAAAGGGTCAGCTCAGCATACTGAGTACTTCTGTTCTGCACACTTTTAATAAACTGACTTGGCACTTGTCCAACTCTTCTTCAAAATAAAAGCACCTGTTTATAATCCGGTTGTCGTCCACATGCCGCTGTAATAAAGCCCTGTGTTTGAGCAACACCTGCTGGTCAAACAGCGCCACTGCAGCTGAGTCTCCACATCTGCTCCACAGCTGCTCGGACTACAACAATGTGCAGTGTTTGGTGTTTATTTAGTGAAGAAATGGCGGATGGAGATTCTGTGTGTTTGTCCATTGGTTAAAAACAGATATTTTTGTTGAGTGTCTGTGACAAATGCAGTCCCATCTTTTATCTAAAAGTAATGAAAGATAAAAGTCGTCCCTCAGGGCTGTCTGACAACAAGTTTAGCTTTTTGAGACTAGTTATGATCATTTTTAGACTAAATATCATCAATTATACCAATACCGCTGCAGATTGGCTTGAATCCTGCACCACAGCCAGAGTACAATGGTTAAGAATTGGGGGAGAGAATAGGATGGTGTCCAAGTTTTATAACTCTGCTTTAAACTGTCTTATTATTATTATTATTGTTATTATTATTGTTATTGTTATTATTATCCTATTGTTTATTATTATTATTATCCCCTTGTTTGTTTCTATTTAATATACTTAATGTTATGTGTGATTTTTATTATTAGTATTATTACATATTTTTATTATTTATTTTATTTTATTTTAGGTATTTTTTTATTTTATTATTATCTTATTTACTCATTTATTTATTTTCCTCCAAGAGGATTATTTGTTATGAGAGGGAGGGAAGGGATTTTACGACTGTTATTGTTTGTTCATTGTGTATTGTTTATTGAAGACGACCAAAAACTCAATAAAAGATGTTTTGAAAAAAGAAAAATCATAAATTATAATTAATTAATTTGGTATAGTGCACTGGGTGTATACACCTGGCAGTGCAGAGCTCTGGAACAACATTCAGACTAAAGTTCAGGGAGATAACATGTACAGAAAATATAAATAAATTAATTAATAGAATTTGACCTCGTTTTGATTTAAGTCAAATAAAAGTCAAAAACAGTTTTTTTCAGTCACAATATAGAAAGTCATCTGGATTACGGGGCTGTCCATATTTAGGGATACAGGGAGGATGCTAAAAAGGAAATAGAATTAATCTCAGATACAAAATAAATGAAAAGTTATTGAGCTTCGGCATCAGAAGCAAAATATACGTCTTAAGGGTCCAACTGTTACAACGCTGTGGTTTAAAGCAAAAAAAAAAAGGAGCTCAAACATAAAGTTGCTGTGTCTGTGTTTATTTATTGTGTTTTTTCTGTGGTCTGCATCAACACAAATAGTTTTTAATAATAAAAAATATATTAAAATATACATATCAATGATAGGTAATTGAGTGTAATCACCAACATTTATCAATGAATTTATCTGGATTTAAACAATGCAGTGAATTAAATCTAAATATTCTTCTTTCTAAGAAACAACAAACTAAAGCGTGGATAAAATTTAAGGACATAATTATAAT